TCCTGCAAGGTATCACTGAGTCTACAAACCATATACTCTGTTCTATTTCTGCTGATTTTCAGACCATCTCTCTCAAGTACACACCTCCATATCTCTAAATCTTCTTCCACTTCCTCTTCTCCCCTATGAGTACATCAATCTGCAAAAAGCATACACTAGGGTGCCACTCTCTGGATGTTTTCTGTAAACACAGCAAGCATCAGTGTGAACACAAAGGGGCTTAGTGCAGAGCCCTGATGTACTTTATTACTAGAACCTGTTCGCTTTCTACATACAGCCTTCAGTAATCTCTCTCGTTCTCATACACTACCCAATGACCCCTCTCATAATGTGGTCATAAGATTTTTCAAAGATGAACAGATATTATGTGCAGGACTTTCCTCTTTTCTCTATATTTTTCCACAAGCAATCTTAGCGCAAAGATCACAATAATTTTCTACTTGCCTGGCAAGAAAATCCTAACTGATTGTCAATGACCTTTACTTCTCTTCATAGTCTCTTATCCATAACTGTCTCCCAATTTTTCCTCGTGTAGCTCACCAGTTGAATGTCACATTAGTTACCCGCGTCTTGCTATGTCTGCTTTCCTCTTAATAATTGGTATGGTGCTCTTCTCCAGGCATCATCTCAGTCTTCATGACAAAATTAAACTGTTGTATGGAAGGTGTGAACATACTGATACTTCTGTTGGTATGCCACTCGGGCATACATTTTTTTTATTTTTCATGTTGCTCAGTGCTTCTGCAACTACTTCCTGGATTGATGCCACCAGACCCTGGTTTGATTTTAATCGTATGGCATGGTTCTCTTGGATTCTCTTTATTCATAAGCCTTTCAAAGTAATTTCACCACTGTTCCTTAATCTGGTTTTCATTTATTATGGTATTTCTACATTTATCTTTAATTACTTTGATCTCACCATTGTCTTTAGTTCTCTTATCACGGGTCTTTGTTAGTCTATATATTTCTCTCTCACCTGCATTCGATTCAAGATGGGCATATAATGATTTTTGGTTGCCACCTCTTTCTTTGCTATCTTTTTGGCTTTTTTTATGTCCTGCTGGAATGTCGCTTGCCTATGTTTTTCACACTTTTTCTTTTCCTTCCCAGCGTCTCAAATTTTCTCATTCCATCACCAGATCTCACTGGGCAAAAACCCTCTTGCTTTTGTTTCACCAAGCAGATCTTTACACATTCTTGAATTTTGCTTGCAATATGATTGGACAATTGAATCGTATTTTCTCTTAACCCTTCTAAAGAGATCTCCCACACTTTCATTTAAAACTTTTTGCAAACACCATTAAAGCTTCCACTACTTGGTTTTCTGTACTCCTTTCTTCTCATGTAGGATATATACCCTAGTCAAAACACAGAATGGTGGTTTGACTTGCAGTGCTTTCCTCTGGGATGAGCTTAACAATTTTTGGTGCTCTTCAGCTTAGTTTATTGAGAAATAATCTAGCTGCACTCTCATACTACCATTCTTAGGCTATGTTTACACTATGAGCTTGGGATACGATTCCCCTGCTCATATTATAGATATTTGTATTAGCACTCAATGATCTAGCATGAATATAAATAGCAGTGTAGCTGCATTAGCATTGACAGTGGCACCAGAGGCACGACTGAGCTGTGCTGACTAAAAACCCACCCAAAATTAGTGCCAAGTGCCTACACAACTCAGTCGTGCTTCCACTGTCACTATTTGTGCTAGCACGGCGACACTGCTATTTATACTAGCATTAGCCTGGTAAGAGCTACCACAAGTACATGTATACAAGCAGGGGAAGCCACACACCCCTAGCTCGTTGTGTAGACATAACCTTGTAGATACATTTGCCCCTCTTTTGATACAATTAACAGGGTAAGCTACAATAGCAATGGCATTTTTATATATTTCAATGATTTTCATCTGGAGTTCTATTTATTATTTTCCTCAGTCTTCCACAGCCACTTGTAACATTTTTTAAAAAAATTATATACTAGGCTCTTAAGCATTCTCAAAAGCTTCCCAAGGCAAAAAAAGAACCAAACAAGACAGGCACAGAAGAGATCTTATTAAATGTATACTTTAGATTTTAGCATTAAAATTGTAACATTTTACAATCCCCCACTCATTTTAATGGCTCCTCTATTTTTCCTCCATATTCATTCTGCCAATGAAAAAAAATAAAATAAAAAAAATGCCATGTTACGAAGTTACTGAGCACTAAAATTAGAAAAGGCCTTTTTGCATGCTTGAACTACAAGGGTATACTGACAGGTTTCAGATTAACAGCCGTGTTAGTCTGTATTCGCAAAAAGAAAAGGAGTACTTGTGGCACCTTAGAGACTAACCAATTTATTTGAGCATAAGCTTTCGTGAGCTCTAGCTCACGAAAGGGTATATTGTTAACCATATGCAGCTGGGCAAAAATGCACAAATCATTTTACAACACCCATTAAACAATAATTGTATCTCAAACTGTAAGTGTATTTGTGGAATATCTAAAACGATACTAGGTTATGTTTTTGGTGAGGTTACAGTAGCGAGGTAACCAAAACTCCTGTTCTACAGTTATTTTAAGAATGCAGTTTTCTACAAAAATTTTCCATATATTACACATATAGGTTTCCTAGAGTTTATAGTATAAGTGCTGCAGGGTTCTACAGCCTGCTTTTACTTAGGTTAGACAAGCTCTGTGGACAGCCACCAGCTTATTATTTAATCATATCCGTTCCAGTAAAGTTATTTCAGGAGTCAGTCTGAATCTTGTTCTCTGCTTTGGAAAGTTGTTTTTTGAATTTGGTAAAGTAAGGTGGTGACAGGAGATTTTAAACAAGGTTGTTTGCTCATGTGTGTCAGACATCTGGCACCGTTTATTCATCCTCCCAAAAAACTGTAATAAAAAAGATACTTTATTAATTAAAGAATTTTAGAAAGAATTTATGGTTTTCCCATAAGTCTAAATGCAGAAGATTGGTTACTCTGCAAAAGTCTGCCATGTAACCCAGGAAACCTTTATTTCCGGATACCTGAAAAACAAAACCTTTGCTGCTACTGCGACAGGCAACCCGCTCTGTATCCACTTCTCAGTAAGCACGTTCCAATATCCTATTTTTAAGTAGTTAGGTACAAAAAATGTTTTTCCACCTGTAATTTTGGATTTTACACTTTACTCATACTTCCTGCTTTGACTTGTATTGAAACAAGTTCACTCCTCTTACAGATGTTTCAAGCTGTCTGACTGAATCTGCAGACATCACTGCATTGCTTACATTTGGGTCACATTTTCAATCTTTTCTTTTCAAAGATGAGGGCCAGGGAGTGTACTTTTCTTAAATAAAAAATGAAAGTGATGTAATCACAGGATTCTGGGAGTCAGAGTCCTAGCCATGGGCATATAGTCCCTATGCCTCAATCTGGCCTCAGACAGAGGCTCCTTCAGACCTGTTGTGAAGTATTCTAAGGTCTTAGATACAGAGACACTAGCAAGGCCATAAGAGATTTAAGGTAAAATTTGCTCTGCGTAGACTGATGCCACACATCTAGGAAACATGTACTGATCTGGAAAATAACTAAAAAGGACCACTAACATCTAAAGTATGGATTCCCCTGCTAATGAATGTGGCTTAGGGAAAAATACTGGTAGACAGACTCGTTCAGATGTTACTCAGTGACCACAGAGGGGAATTTAGGGAGTAGTTAGAAAGCTACTTTATGTTAGACTAATGTTATTTTGTTAATCTAAAAGCCCATGTTTTTCCCCCTTGGTGACAGGGGAATCTATCCCTTTTTAAAGTTTTGTGCTCCAAAATCTAAGGCTTCACTTAAAAAGTAGTTAACTTTCTAGCCATCGGCTGTGAAGATATACTTCCAAACACGAACCAAATGTAAATTGGCACAGTGTTTTCTTTCTGAGACTAATAAAAATGAGCTCCAAGACAGGTGCAAATTACCACCATTTATCAGCAAAGAGAAAACTTTATCTGCCAGAAGCTTCAACTGCCTTCTGGATGCCTAGAACTCGAGCCATTTCTCTACCTTTTCCTAGCTAACAAAATCTTCCATTTTAACCCCTATTTCCCAACCTCCACATAGTCCAGACAAGACAAAAAAAACATGCATGTATTAAAAATCTATACGGGTGCTGCCATTACTCCAAACTATGTTCAGGTTTCCAGGCTTTGTACAACATTTAATGACTTGGAGAATGCACAGTGAAGAAAGAAACTTGAGATTTGCCAGAAACAACACAGACCTGCTTGTTACACATGTAAGTAAGGGGTGTGTTCTAACACTGACTGAGAAGCATATACAAGTCTCTCCCCCGCAAACTTGAAAATGACTGGATTATTTTACAGCATTTTAAAATTAAGTTTATAGCATAGATTTTAGAGCTTAACTGAAGTTGTCTGTACCCAAGCAACATCGCACCCATGTTCATGAGGTGTTAACATTTGAGGATTTGTATTCCCAACATTAAGTAGTTTTGTCCTATATAAAAAAAGTTATAAAAAAGTGTCAAAGCCACTTTTTCAGCTTCAATGACTAATTTATATCTTGTTTATAAAGTTAATGTCAGAGTTAATTTTCTGTTGACACAAAACATGCAAAGTACAATGTTACCAACTCTTGTGATTTTATTAGAAAAGTTTTGCAATATTTGGTATTTCTCTTAAAGCCCCAGCTCCATGTGCTTACAGGAGAATCTCAGTTTTCACTAAAAAATGAAGTTACCAGACCTCCTTGGCTACGGAGAAAAGCTTGAAAATATGACCTAAGGCACCCTAATGGCTCAGAAACCTAATGGGAAATAAAAAACCGCAACTAAAAGAAAAAAAATCTCCTTTTTAATCCAGTCATGATTTTTGAACATTTGAGGCTGGCAACTTTCGTTCTAGTGTAGATTTTACATGAAATAAAGAAAATATTAAAATGGTTGAAAAATCAAACAACTTGAAACATTCTCTCAAGGTATTATGTTCGTAAAATGAACAAAATTAAAAAAATGGAATACCTCAGTCTGACCTTCATGGGCACTGGATTCATGAGTAACACGAATAGCCTGAAATTAGAAAACATGTTTAATTAGACTTCAAACAAAAAAAATCATTTCCTAAAATAGCAGGTGTTTAAGGACTCACTGTACTTTCTTCATTTTAACTTGTAGGTTATGGAAGTCTACATCAAAGTAGAGGAAAGTTGTGCTATATACTATATGGTATGATTTTTTAGGATTGTAACTATTAGAAATATTGATTAGACATTAACTAACCTCAAGATATCTCAATTTTTTAAAAAAGACAGTATTTTAAAAGTGTTTTAAGAGTTTTTTAAAACTGTAATGCTGTTTCATGCAAAGTTAAAATCAAACAACAGTTGTTAAAGTCATCCACGTGTTAGTGAGATTACTAATTCCCCACTAGTAGCAAGCAACATTTACAATAAAGCATTTATGTCTTAATCTAGCAAAGCACTTCAGCACGTGCTTAACTTTAAACACGTGAGCAACCCCATTTACAACAATGGGACTATTTAAGCACATCAGTGTTTGCTGGATCAGGCTTAGATGCAAGACTATTCCTGCTAACAATTCTACTATATTTAAAAGAAAGAAAAAAAAAAACAACAAAAAAAGATACTAACTTCATAGGTTTCTAAATATTTGGCTCTCTCTTCAGGACTCATAGGTAACGAATCTTCCAGGAATTTTTTCAATGTAGAATCTGATTCTTAAAAATAAATAAATAAAAATTAATAAATCATTCAATTCCTCTTACTGTTCTACGCAACTTAGAAAATTAGATGAAAACTGAAAGGTTACAACATAAGGAACAATTCTGATTTGTATTATTTCTTCTTTACTTTTCCTCTGGGCTAATATTAAACATTACATTGTCAAAAAGCTTGTACACAAGGCATACAGTGTATTTACATCCAGACAGGAGACTTAAGCCTATAATGCAACACATTCTGTTCCACTACATACAATGACAAAACAATTTAAAGTCACCAGACTCTTATTATGGTGTGAAATATTAATATGGTATCTACTACTTTGAATTTGGAGTTCCATTTTATTCATTTAACTATATGCTGTATTACTATCCTTTGTATTACTAAAAATTCTTAATGACTGCCAACTAACAAAAGTCTGTGTTGTATTGATGTTGTATAATTAAGACAAGACGACTAATGGTGAATTTCTACTTGTCTTTTAAAGACTTTTCAAGTAGAGTCAACACTATGAAAAGTACTGTGCCACCTACCCTCCAAAAAATAATATTCAGTATATTAAGAGAAAAGATTTACCAAAGTTCATTTTATCTCTGTTGTTTGCAATAGCATGAATAAGTCCAATTGTTCCACAAGCATTGTTGATAGTTTGCTTCATGAAATATACTGATGATCTGACATTTTGTCCCTGGGCTTTTATTCTCTCTTCCTCTTCTGTTCTGAATGTTTCATACTGGAAAAGAAAATCAAAAGTGTCTTGCATGTAGAACAATTACAGTGAACTATTTCAAATTTCCTGTCCAAAAACAAAAGCTCCATTAAAATTTTAATAGTAGTTTGAAACAGAAGGAAGCAGAACCGAATAAGTAAGGGATTGCAACCTTTATTCACATGACCAATCTCATTGATGTACCTGAGATTATTCGCTTGTATAAATCTGTGAGATCAAATCCTAAATCAGTATCTTGTCACCAGCTAAACATCAGTGTCTTTTATCCAATATTCTAAAACACTTAACTTGTTGTGCCATCTAGTGCTATGTCAAGAATGTTCAAAAATGAAGATTGATAAGCTAGGCTCACTTTTAGAGAAACAGTCCCCTCTACCACAGCCTCCTTTGTCTCCCTGCAATCCGACAAAAGGCCTTGAAGAAGGTAACGGAAGTTTTACATCTATGGCAAGCAAAGTGGAGTACAATAAATAACTGCGCTAAAAGGGGGAAAAAAATGAAGCATTGTAGAGGCTCCAGTATATAGTCTTAACCTTTTCCAGAAAAAGTTGAGTCATTTATATGTTTTTGAGTGGTACTGATAACTTTGCAAATGGGCCTTTTGACACCATAAGAAGATGACAAACTGAACAGAATAAACAAAATTATTCCAGGGCACACAGTTTGGCTGTGTAATCTGACAATTACAATATGAATACATATATAAATTTAGTAACAGGGTCTACTGGTGAGGGAAGCATCCTGGGGTGGCACAAGGGGATTCCAGAGTTTGTCAACTACACTAGTGACCTTTCGGATAAAGAAGGTAGCCAATAAGGAGTGAAGAAATGGTTTCAGGAAGGAAGGATATCCAGACCATTGCTTCTGCCATTTAGAGTTTGATGATAGAGCTCCTGGATACTGGGTAGACTCCCCTCTGTAGGGAACCATTGGAAGTCTCAGGCCTGGTCTACACTACGAGTTTGTGTCGGATTTAGCAGCGTTAAATCGAATTAACCCTGCATCTGTCCACACAACTAAGCCATTTTTTTTTTGACATAAAGAGCTCTTAAAACAGATTTCTGTACTCCTCCCCAATGAAGGGATTAGCACTGAAATCGACATTGCCGTTTCAAATTAGGGTTAGCATGGATGCAATTCGAAGGTATTGGCCTCCAGGAGCTATCCCACAGTGCACCATTGTGACCGCTCTGGACAGCACTCTGAACTCGGATGCACTGGCCAGGTGTACAGGAAAAGCCCCTGGAACTTCTGAATCTCATTTCCTGTTTGGCCGGTCGAGCTCATCAGCACAGGTGACCATGCAGTCCCAGAATCGAAAAAGAGCTCCAGCATGGACCGAACGGGAGGTACTGGATCTGACTGATGTATGGGGAGAGGAATCCGTGCTATCAGAACTATGTTCCAAAAGATGAAATGCCAAAATATTTCAAAAAATCTCCGAGGCCATGAGGGACAGATGCTACAGCAGGGATCCAACACAGTGCTGTATGAAACTTAAGGAGCTCAGACAAGCTCGTACCAGAAAACCAATTAATCGAACGGACACTCCAGGACAGAGCCCCAGACATGCTGCTTCTACTATGAGCTGCATGCAATTTTAGGGGGGGCTGCCACCACTACCCCACCCCGTCCGTGGACTCCGATGATGGGGTACTCTCCGCCATGCCTGAGGATTTTGCGGATGGGGAAGATGAGGAGGATGAGCTTGAGGAGATCACACAGCACACCATTCTCCCAGACAGCCAGGATCTTTTTATCACCCTGACTGAAAAACCCTACCAACCCAATGAAGCCGGAGAAGGGACCTCTGGTGAGTGTACCTTTTAAAATACAATACATGTTATAAAAGCAAGCGTTTTTTAATGATTAATTAGCCCTGAGGAGTTGGGATGCATTCGTGGCCAGTACAGCTACTGGAAAAGTCTGTTAACGTGTCTGGGGAATGGAGCGGAAATCGTCCAGGGACATCTCCATGAAGCTCTCCTGGAGGTACTCTAAAAGCCTTTGAAGAAGGTTTCTGGGGAGAGCAGCCTTATTACGTCCTCCATGGTAGGACACTTTACCACGCTATGCTAGTAGCAAGTAATCTGGTATCATTGTATGACAAAGCCTAGCAGCGTACAGTCCCGGTGTGTGCTGGCATTCAAGCAACATCTGTTCTTTATCTCTCTGTGTTATCCTCAGGAAAGTGATATGGTTTATGGTAACCTGGTTGAAATAGAGGAATTTAATTAAGGGGACATTCAGAGGTGGCCGTTCCTACTGGGCTGTTTGCCTGTGGCTGAAAAGATATCCTCCCAGCAGTTAGCCACGCGGTGAGGGGCGGGGGGCATTGGCACTGAGCTGTTGGCATTTGGCTAGCAGGGATCTTCCCGGATACCAGCCATGTGGTGGGGTGAGAGGTAAAACATCATCCCAGAGAATTGGATGGGCATGGGGGTTAGTTTGGTTTCTGCTATACTGCACGTTAACAGCAAAACCGCAGCACTAAATGGCCAACTCAACGTGCTTTGCTTGGTATGGGAGAGGAGGGCACTGCTGTTACGAAGGTTGCAGAAGCCTAAAGACTATGGCTTACCGTGGCCTCCTGCAAGCCGAATTCTGTTGCCCGGCACTGCGTGTGTGATCTCTAACACCAAAGCTACAGGCACTCAATATAAGATGCAAAATGCAATCTTGTACCAAAAATCACATGTGCTATGTAATGTGAATAATGTTGTTCACCGTGAAAGAGTATAGCCATTGTTCTGTAAAACGTATCTTTTTAAATACTTCACTCCTTTTTTTCCTCCAGCAGCTGCAAATGTTTCAAGCCTCCCTCCTCCACCCCAAAGGCTATCTCAGATGAGGTGGTGAAAAAAAATGCACGTGTGATGAAATGTTCTCTGAGCTCATGCAGTCATCTGGCACTGACAGCTCAGCAGAATGTGTGGAGGGACACAATAGTAAAGTACAGGAAAGTGGCTGATGAACGTGAGGAGAGGTGGCGGCAGGAATATCAGAGGAGGCATGAGGCAATGCTGGGGCTACTGCGGGATCAAACAGACATGCTCTAGCATCTGGTGGAGGTTCAAGAATGGCAGCAGGATCACAGACTGCCACTGCAGCCCCTGTTTAACCGACCTCCCTCCTCCCCAAGTTCCACAGCCTCCTTACCCAGATGCCCAAGAACGTGGAGGGGTGGGAAAAGCTCCGCGCATCCAACCACTCCACCCCAGTGGACAGCCCAAGCAACAGAAGACTGTCATTCAAGAAGTTTTAAAGTGGCCTTTTCCTTCCCGCCTACTCTCCTCCCACACACCACCTGGTCTACCTATCTCCCTGTTTTATAATCAATTAATAAAGAATACATGTTTTTTAAACTATAGTGACTTTATTTCCTTTGCAAGCAAGCTGTGATCGAAGGGGGGAGGGCGGGTGGCTTACAGGGAATTTAGAGGCAACCAAGGGGGCAGGTTTTCATCAAGAAGAAACAAACAGAACTGTCACACAGTACCCTGGCCAGTCATGAAACTAGTTTTCAAAGCTTCTCTGATGTGCAGCGCTCCCTGCTGTGCTCTTCTAACCGCCCTGGTATCTGGCTGCGCATATTCAGCAGCCAGGCGATTTGCCTCAACCTCCCACCCTGCCATAAACATCTCCCCCTTACTCTCTCAGAGATTGTGGAGCACACAGCAAGCAGCAATAACAATGGGAATATTGGTTTTGCTGAGGTCTGAGCGAGTCAGTAAATTGCGCCAGCGACCCTTTAAACGTCCAAATGCACACTCTACCACCATTTTCCACTTGCTCAGCCTATAGTTGACCAGTTCCTTACTACTGTCCAGGGTGCCTGTGTACGGCTTCATGAGCCAGGGCATTAAGGGGTAGGCTGTCCCAAGATAGGGATATGCGTTCCGTCTATAGCCCCACCATTGTTAGGGAATCCCATTGCAGCAAAGCCATCTAATATGACCTGCACATTTTCCAGAGTCACTACCTTTGATAGCAGCAGCTCAATGATTGCGTTGGCTACTTGCATCACAGCAACCCCCACACTAGATTTGCCCACTCCAAATTGATTACTGACTGACCGGTAGCTGTCTGGCATTGCAAGTTTCCACAGGGCTATTGCCACTAGCTTGTGAACTGTGAGGGCTGCTCTCATCTTGGTATTCTTGTGCTTCAGGACAGGGGAAAGCAAGTCACAAAGTTCCATGAAAGTGCCCTTACGCAAGCGAAAGTTTCGGAGCCACTGAGAATCATCCCAAACCTGCAATGCTATGAGGTCCCACCACTCTGTACTTGTTTCCCGTGCCTAGAATCGGCGTTCCACGGCATGAGCCTGCCCAGTAACACCATGATCTCCAAATTGCTGGGGACCATGGTTTTAGAGAAATCTGTGTTCATGTCCTCATCACCGCGCTGCCGTCGCCTCCTCACCTGGTTTTTCAGGTGCTGGTTCGGCATGAACTGCACGATAATGCGCGAGCTGTTGACAATGGTCATAACTGCTGCGGTGAGCTGAACGGGCTCCAGGCTTGCCGTGCTATGGCGTCTGCTGGGGCAATCCAGGGAAAAGGGTGCAAAATGATTGTCTGCTGTTGCTTTCACGGAGGGAGGGAGGGAGGATTGACTGATGACATTTACCCAAAACCACCCGCAACAAATTTTTGGCCCCATCAGGCATTGGGAGCTCAGCCCAGAATTCCAATGGGCAGTGGGAACAGCGGGAACTGTGGGATAGCTACCCACAGTACACCGCTCGGAATGTCGATGCTTGCCACGGTAATGTGGACACACACCGCCGAATTAATGTGCTTAGTGTGGACGCATGCACTTGACTTTATACAATCTGTTCCTAAAAATCGACTTCTGTAAAATCAGAGTACTTTCATAGTGTAGACCCAGCCTTAGTTCAAGGTCTGCTGGGGTTTGTAGGTCACTCTACCAAAGCTGGCTGGGAAATGATATAAGCAGCTTCCTTCCGTTCAGAAGGAAAGACATGGTGGGAGGGAACTGGAGCTGCTGAGAGCCTCTCAGCGACAACGAAGCAAATTCTGGGTCTCAGTACAAGTTCCCGGATTTCTGCTGAAGAGAAGCTACCTTTAGGAGCAAAAGCTTGTTTTGCTTTGAAAATACTCTACAACGATGGAATTGGGAGGGTTTTTTGCTGATGTTCAGCCCACTATACACACATACACACACACAACACACACACACAACTGTATTGTTTCATTTCTTTGGTGTGATCTAGTCTGCTGCGGAGAAGTTTACCAATAAATAAGTATAAAAGAAACAGTGCTTTTACAAACAACTGGAAAAACAAATAAACCAGAAACAGCTGCTTGCAAGTAGAACAGAGTAGGCAGGTTTTCAGATAGACAATCTGGACTACAAGAATGAAGGTATGTCCTGATTTTAAGTCTTTCCACCTTTTCAATATGCTGCCCTAATGACTGATTTTTATCAGTCAGCACAGCAAACCTGAAAGCACTAGACAGCTGGTTTTGTCAATTATAGAACATTCCATTCTCTTATCTACTGCTGGAATGTTGTTCTCTCTGGAAATACGATGCTTCCCTCCTTTAACTTCTTCGTTAATCACAGAAATAAAAAGGGTTGCAATAAATAATAGTTATAAATCTCTAAGCAAATAACCGTATCTGCTTTATACATGTGCCTAAAATGCTCTATTGTGCACTTTTTTACAGCAATGCTGCTGCAAAAAATCCATTACATTTCTTTAACCAGAACACTACAAAAATGTATTTATGGGATTAAAAAATTACTTGTTGGTACAATGAACTAGCAATACTACTACTAAGGCATATTCAATTTCTGGGCACTATTACTCACTGAACTGGCCAGCAGAGGTTAGGGGTATTACAAACTACAGTCAGGTTGGCCTTCAGGAAGGAAAGAATGCCTGCTCTGCTGTAAGCATTCCAGACTACCGGGCAAACTATGCAGCACTAATTGTGAGGCCTCAAGGAGGCACATTAACAGTTCTAAACAGCGGCTTATTCAGTCCCCCTCTGTCAAAGGGCTAGTACTGATGTAAGGGCTCAAGATTGAGAGATGTGGAAGTATCAGAAAATAAGGAAATGATATGCCAGCAACAAGAAGCACCCATTTGGGAAAGCAGAATGGCTCAGAAAGGAGTCACACTAATTACACTAGTTACATAACTAGTATTTCCCACATCTGGGAGCTGAGCATTCCCACATCTAGTTACAACAGTTATGTTAAAGACTACTGAAACCCTCATAATGAACAGCTATGAAACTAATGAACTAGAACAGATAAAAACAGCAGTTCTGAAGTACGTGTTTATGATCTCATTGTTAACTATCAACAGGATCGTTCAGACAGAAGTCCATAGGTGCTGGAACTAGGGGTGCTGCCGCATACCTGGCTTGCAGTGGCTTCCGTTATATACAGGGTTTACAGTTTGGTTCAATGGCTCTCAGCACCCCCCCATTAAACAAATTGTTCCAGCAACCCTGCAGAAGTCATCTGCTTCTTTCACTTCTATAGCTAGAAAAGTATTCCTGTGAGCTCCTGGCCCAACATTTTCCTCATAATGCAAATCTTACATCAATTCATGACTAGCAACTTATTTTTGTGGCAACTTCTTCACTTTTATTACATAGTTCCAGTCATTCAGAATGCCTTATCGATGAGAAAAGTTGTGTGTTAAGAGGACAAGAAAAAATGGACACTTCTGTTTGAGATGTTAACAGCGTCATTAAAATTTTATCACCGGTGATACTATGGCAAGATTTCTATATAACTGACGTGTCAGTATAAATCACATGCTACAACAGAAAAATGGAGCAGCCCCTCTCACTCCAAGAAGAGATAAATATAGATATGTTTAAGTACATACATTTCCGGTCAAATATGCAATTGCATGAGATGTACTCAGTAACTTGAGAATGTCACAGATTCAAAATATTTAAAGCAATCGTTAAGATATTTAAAAAATTGTCTCCAACATATGCTCACTCTAGAGTCTATATTTACATGTTGAGTGATAAGTGCATAGCCTGGAATGGGGATTGGGGAAAGATATACACTTTAACCCCTCTTGACAAAAAACACAAATCAAAAACAAAGATTATCCCCAATTCTGCCTCAGTTACAAACATGCCCAATCTGTCCAAGAAATGAAAGCTATGTTGGAGCTACAGGCTTCTCTAGACAGTGATTAAAGCTCGGACTGCATTATGATACTACAAAATCAATACACGTTTTATAAATGGCTGTTTGATATTTTCCACATTTTCCATATCCCTTCTTACCACTTTGTTCATGCCTTTATGTGATATAAATATTAAAACAGCAAAAATAAATATTGCCGTTCCATTAAGAGAAGATATCAAAATCCTTTAAATTATCATTCACATCTATCACTGACTGAGAGCAACATCAGATATCCTTTGTTTATAGATTTATTTTTAATACTTTTTCAATTGTGCAGTTTTGTTTAATAATCTTATTTGACAAGAACAGAATGTATCACAAACCAGAGGAACTTTGAAGAAAGTTTGTTGTTTTTTTTAAGTCTCACTGATGTAAAGAATTACAGATTTCATATTATATATGATAGGGCATTTTGACTGATCTGCCGATCTTTAATTACTAAGTATCAATAGTAAATATTTACCTTTTCTGTTACTGGGAAGAGCAGTAGCACTGCACAGACAGGTCTTGGCACCATGCTAAGTAGTTCTGGATCCATACCATACACATCTACAAATTGCCAGTCAGGATGTATACCTAACTGTTTGAGAAACTAGTAAGGAAAAGAAAAAGGCACAGTATTAAACAGATTTGTTCATAAATAATCCACCAGAAGCACGTTTGTTCACCTGTGAAGTTAAATACACTTTTTGTGCAGATCAAGATATTTGAGAGGGAAACAGGAAGATGAAGTAAGGTTAAATTGTCATGACTGACAAACTGAAAAAGTGTAACGCTTTGCTAATCTACTTGAGGAGCCATTGTTACAGCATAAACAGTTTTAACTATATTTAAATGCCATATGGGGAGGGGGGAGTGGATGTTCAAGTCAACAATTTTTCAAGTTGTATTTTAGTCACTGAGACAAGTAAGATCCCAGAGGAGCACATGGATCTGTAATAGATGAAAGCTGAGTGCATGGATTTAAGAAAAAAAATCCCTGCCCTCACATGTATTTTTAAAAGTATACCATATTGAGTGTTAATAGGCACGTAACTCATTTAGTCACTTGACTTGAGCAATCTGACCCCTAAGAGGACCTTCTTCACTAAAGAGATTAATGGTTGAGCATTTTACAGAGTACACTTTAGAGGTGTTCTTTTGCAAGAAGGATGATATATAATAAAAATAACCCTATGACACCCAGCATAAAGTACCCATTTTACCTAGATAGAGATTAATGAAAGCTAGGCCATAACTATGCAGTTTATATAGTTCTCAGTTTGTTTCTTCAGAGCTATTCACTAAATTCTAGATCAGTGGTATTCAACCTTTCCCATGCCAGGACCACACGTTACAACAGCAAAAAGCTTTTGGATCATGAACTACCACTTGTCTAGCCATTAAAAAAAAATGGAAGCTGAACCTGCCTCTAACAGGGGTTCATGGCCTTCCAGTTGAGAACCTTAGATCATTCCCCTTCACGCGAACAGATCTCCCTTTAAAGTTGTTCATCACATACTAAGGCTATGTCTATACTACAGCTCTTACAGCAGAACAGCTGTACCACTACAGCTGTGCTGCTATAAGTTCTCGAGTGTAGCCGCTCCTTGCCGGCAGGAGAGAGTTCTCCTAATTAAACCACCCCCAATGAGCAGTGTTAGCTATGTCAGAAAAAGAGCCTTTCCTACCAACATAGCACTGTCCACACCAGCACTTTTGTTGGGGAAATTTGCGTCATTTAGGAATGTTTTTTCACATCTCTGACTAAACAACTACTTTTGTTGGTAAAACTTGTCAGACACAGCCTAAAATAACTATCTTCTACTCCTCAAATATGGAGGATTTCAGAACCTACACACAACCATCTAACAATTTTGAAATATTTGCCATTCTGATTGACAGTTTTGTTAGATGTCAAGAAAAGAGATTATTAGATGAATTTGATCAAATCACAGTTCAGAAACAATTGTTACTATGACAGATGAAACATAGCAACTTTGTTCTGCCTTATTTTATTCTAAGCAAAGCACTGTGAGATGCCAGTGCCCTATCTTAGAACACTCCTTCCACAGTCTAGAAAAGTAGTGTATTTAACTTTCGAACCTGCATTGTTGTCCCCTAGCATATGCAGGGGCTACATGGTTTCCATGTAGGTTATGGATTTTCAACCTTCCTACAGGTCTGCCCCTAATCTAAAAAGAAATCTTATTCAACTGGCTGCAGTCTCAGGATGCAGGAGAAGGGGAAGGGCAGCCAATAATAGCCCCTGCACTTGGTGAGGGACAATCTGGTCACTCATATTATGGGCAGGCTAATGCTTCTCCCTCCCCTGCTGAAAGGCTGGAGAACTCATATCCTGAGAGCTGGCTGGTGAGCAGATGCAGCTCTGCAACTCCTGCTGTAGCTCTCAAAACTGCTAACTCAGGCCTGGGAGGACCACCAAGGAGGTGTTTTGAAAAGCTTAATAGAACTCTCCCCACACAGTTGTTTAAAGGTGAGGATTTGTGTTGGTTTCTTTGGGGGTTGGTGGGGTGTTTTGGAATGACATGATAATGCAAGTAGAGAAGGAAGGAAGGGGGAGACAAAATTAAAAACATCTCTCAGCCCTCTCCTCCCTAGCATGGTGCCCCCACTGTACACACATATTTATGCAAATTTATTTACATTAACTAACAGGTAGGTACACTTATGTAGATTTATTCAAATCTGACCTAATTTTTTTGCTCAAGGATGTTGGCTGGGATGTTTACATTCAAGAGTACCCCCCCTCCCCCCCAAAAAAAGTATGAGTATTTGATTACTGTAGTCCTTTCTTGACAATTTGAAATAAAGAAGAAAACAATTAAAATACTGATTAAAATTAGTCTTGCATTGGATGAGAGGCATGGTGGCTGTCCATCATAGGAAGCCCAGGGTACCAATTACCAATGTTTGAAGATATAAAAAGAGATTGTTAGCCCTTGTTGAAACAGAGTGCACAAGACTACATGTATTTGTGAGGTGGTATGGGAGGAAGTAAGGAAGGAAAAGCAATGAAATACTTCCAACCATATTTAGTTTATTACATTTTCTTTTAACAGCTGTGATTTATCCCCACTGTTTTGGGAAGCTTAGACACTTAGCCATTTTAAACATTTTATTCCCAATATTCTTACTTGCTATCTCACAGTGCAGAACAGTTAGCCAACACTCTCATAATAAGTTAAGTGGTGATCCGATTCAGTGTTAAAGGAAGTATAAAAGAATCTAGACATAGTGGATCGATTAAAGTAAAAATTATTTAAATAACTGATTTTAATCCATGATTTAAATCAACAATCAGCAAGCCTTGGTTTAAATAATCAATTTTAGTCCTATTTTGCATTTGGATGTTTTAGTTATTACTTTCCTAAAGAAAGGGTGATTCTCATTGGTTGGTAATCTTTAAAGCATCATTTTAAACTACTTGATTTGCAATTACCTCTAGCCTCTACTCTGAATTTGGTATTTTTTTTAAACCAGGAGAATAGTGTGTATTTATACACATGTTTAAAGCAATTATATAGTTTATGTACATTTAAGATTCTTAATTCTTACATTTTAATTCTGTTAGAAAGTGATGCATGATGTATTTTTATTTACTAGATTAATAATCTGTGTCAATCTTTATTTGGATGAAATCGGAATTCAATGTGCAAAAACAGAATTAAAAATATAATTAAACTACCTTAAAATGTGCTGGATAAGAATGGTAAATTTCTTATATTATAATTTCCTTTCTGCTAGCTGAATCTCCCACAATTCTAATACACAAGGGCCATTCTCCTCCTGTCTGGTTTCTGGAGACAGTTCAAAGCTGTAACACAGCCTGTGCTACCCTCACACCCTTCTCCAGCCTGCTGCCACATGATTCATTCCAAAGCTGTGTACAAACTCATACAATATGATTAGTAACAACAGCTTCCATGCCAACCCATAAATTATGTACAGTAGACTATGGCCTACAACAGGGATGGGCAAACTATGGCCCAGGGGTGGCATTCGGCTCTTCAAATGTTTTAATCCGGCCCTCAAACTCCAGCCAGGGAGTGGGGTTGGGGGCTTGCCCTGCTTTGCGTGCGCCGTGGCTCCGCATGGCTCCTGGAAGCAGCCGATATGTCCCCCCTCCGGCTCCTACATGTAGGGGCAGCCAGGGGGCTCTACATGCTGCCCCTGCCCCAAACACCACCCCCGCAACTCCCATTGTCTGGGAACAGAGGCCAATGGGAGCTGCAGGGATGGGGCAGCACACAAAGCCACATAGCCATGTCACTGTGTAGAAGCCAGAGGAGGGACATGCCGCTGCTTCCAGGAGCTGCTTGAGGTAAGTGCTGCCTGGAGCCTGCACTCCTAATTCCTTCCCATGCCCCAACCCCTCGGTCCCAGCACCCTTCTGCACCCCCAATCCCTCATATCCAGCCCCACCCCAGAACTCACAGCCCCCGCCGGAGCCCTCACCCCCCACACACACACTCCAACCCCCTTCCCCAGCCTGGAACCCCCTCCCGCACCCTGAACTCCTAATTTCTGGCCTCTCCCCAGAGCCTGCACCCCCAGCCAGAGCCCTCACCTCCTCCTGCACCCCAGCCCTCAATTTTGTGAGCATTCACGGCCATCATACAATTTCCATACCCAGATGTGGCCCTCAGGCCAAAAAGTTTGCCCACCCCTGGCCTACAAGCAGAACTACCAAAATTAAGTACTATCCCTTGGCTAGGAAGACATTCAGGGAGGGAAGAATTGCGGGAGACACTGCTAGCAGAGTGGAAACGATCAGGTAAGAAACTTACCATTCTGCATTTCAGCGTCTCCCACAATTCTGATATGTATGGGAAGTAGCAAACAGTGAACAGACATAAGGAGGAATAAGAAAAACAGAATGAAATAGGGAAGACCTCCTCGAGTTAATTGCCCAAAATGACCACCAACCATTCTGCATTTCAGCGTCTCCCACAATTCTGATATGTATGGGAAGTAGCAAACAGTGAACAGACATAAGGAGGAATAAGAAAAACAGAATGAAATAGGGAAGACCTCCTCGAGTTAATTGCCCAAAATGACCACCACTTGCAGCACCTTTCTGCCAAAGGAGGCCTCTGGAGAGGACAGATAGTCCACTCTATAGCATCTAGTAAAGGTGTTAAGTGATCACCATATTGCTGTCCTACAGTTTCGTAGTGGAAGCACAACCGCTGTCTGCCCACAAAGTTGCCATAGATTTTGTGGAGTGTGCCTTGATGCTGCGTGGAACAGGCACACCTGACACTTTATATGCCTCTATGTCACTGATCCATCTATGTTACTGATAGCTTGGATACCCTGAGCCTTTAGCACTTCAAATGAAAGGAGACAAACAAGGAGCCCAGTCTTGTTGATTTTAGTGCACTTGAAACAGATCTTTAATACTCTGAACACCCAAAGTTTGCCACAGCTTTTCTACTGGGTGATTTGGCTTTGGACAGAAGGAATGGAAGGTGCTCTCCCATGAGGTATAGAAAGATGAATTCACCTCAGACAAGAATCTTGTCTGAGTTCAGCACCTGGTTTGGAACCAGTACCTGATGTTTCAGCAAATAGTTCCATACTTTCAAG